GGGGATGATTTAAGATTCATACAAGAATTTTTCATATCACAAAGTGAAAGATAAAGACTACGACAACCATGTGGTGTGTAAAATGTCAATGGATTTACTTCTAGTAATCTTTTCTATAAATAAGTATTCTTCCATTTCGTATTAAAACCATTATCATAATCCTGACCTCTTAAATCATCAATACCAAGTTTAATTGTTTTATATATAATAATTCAACAGACAGTTCTTGCCCTGAAATATCATCTATCTTAAGGAATATCAAAGAAAAAAGTCTACCACTAATTGGACTTACTAAACCCCTGTTTGGTTTCCATTCTCCAAATATACATTTTTCTCTTTCTTATGTTCTACCACACATTTTTCAATTAAATAATATACACATAAAAATCCAAATTTTTTCCTCATTTTTTAACCATACATTCTCCAAAATATTACTGATCAAAAATACATTTTTCCCAAAATGCATTTTTAATAGAGTCCAAACAAGCGCTAAGACATTTACATAATTAAACTTTGAATACTCCTACAAAATAAAGACTAAACTAAGCTAATGTTTACATTTTAATTATATATTGATATATCTATTAATGGGACGACTAGGCTAGTTTGGTTGATTGCATTTGAACTTTATTTTGTCTACAATTTTTTATGATCTACATATCATAAAATAATAATAATAATTGGAAGCCCTCACAAAAGTCGGACCTTAGGATATTGTCTACCTTACCTACAGTTAAGGTCGCCACTGCTAATTTGTAACTACACATTTGAATATTTGAAATAGAAAAATGAATTAATCTAGTGGTACATAATGGGGTGTACCTAAAGGTGTATACCCTCTCACATGGGGTGTGGGATCCACCCAAATAAAAAGCTTTTATTCGGGTGGATCTCACATCCCATGTGAGAGGGGTGTACACGCTTAAGTACACCCTTATGTACCACTAATACCACCGTAAAAAAAATTTACTTGTACATGATTATTTAAGATAATGGTGTCTATAATGTGATATGACAATCATCCTGTTGTTGATGTGCAAGTGAAATTTTAATTAAAGGTTGAATTCAGTACCACGTGTAATTATGGACACAATTATATAAATAATTATAGACATGTAGCACTTCCCTTTGAAATAAGAAACTAAGTAAGTTGACAAATAGGACCTACTCTGCACTATAATGAAATGATTGGACGTATGCCCAGCAATTTGGAACGAAGACTAATGAAATGATTTAACGCAAGCCCTTTCTTGAAGATATCATCCACTTGATCATGATTAATAGAGATATTCTTAACAACGATGTCGTGATTCTCAACCTTTTCACAAACAAAGCTATAATCAATTTCAATATATGTTTCATACGAGCATGGAACACTAGATTTGTAGACAAATCTATGGCACTAATATTACTCTTGCAACAACATTCTAAGAAAATAAAGTTCAGCAATAGCCATTGCTGAAAAGTGAACTCCATCTCATTATTTGATCGAGACAACCACATTTTGTTTCTTTACAGACCAAGAAATCAAGTAACTAGTGCTAAGAGAACACCGAAGCCACTTGAGGACTTTCTATCATTCGGATTGTCGTCCAATTGGAATCACAAAAGTTATTGAGATATATGGATGACGGAGTATAATGGACTCCAAAATCAACGGATCCCTTAAGATGCCGAAGCACATATTTGACGGCTAATCAATGAGTTGAGCACGGATTATTCATAAATTCACACAGTTGAATAACAGTGTATGCAATGTCAAGCTAGGCATGTCAACGTGCAAAATTGGAGGCTGCCAATTATTTGACAATACTAAGTGGGGTCCTAAGTAAGTCACCATCGCGAGCAAATAGTTTGGCACCACTTGTTGTTGGAGGAGTGGCTTTACACCTGCCTTTTTTGCATTATCAAGTAAATTAGAAATCTATTTTACCTGTCATAAGCCAAGACCAGTAAGGTTTTAAGATGCTTGAATGACTTAAGACCAGTAACGTTTCAAGATGATTAAATGCCCAAGAAATAGACAAAGGCATAAGATCCTTTATGATGAAATTGCCATTTATTTTGTCAATGATAGAAAATATTCCATGCTCATGAGATCAAGTCATTATGACACCATCAACATAGTCAAGTATAAAAATTATCGGAGTAGATGTATGAAACATGAAAAGAGAATAATCCACAAATGACGCACAAAACAAACTTCAATAATTTTTGACTGAGACATAAAATCCATTGACGTCGTGTCTGTTTGAGACTATAAAGAGATTTGTGCAATCTACATACATGAATCTTGACAAGTTGGATCAACAAATCCTTTTGGTTGTACCATATCTCTTCAAGAATACCATACAAGAAAGTATTGAATACATCTAATTATCAAACTGGCCAATTAAAAGAGATTGCAAGAGCAAGTACTAATCTGACAATTGCAGATTTAATTGTGAACTGAAAGTTTTATGAAAATCAATGATAATTTTCTATATCCCTTTGCATTCGTTTAATTTTATAAACCACTTGTTACGCACAATATGATGATTAAGAGGTTTCTGACAGAGAAACCACATATTATTCTTCATCAAAGCGTCAAATTCTCCTTCTATGGTGAAATGCTATTCTGAAGAGGATGTTGCCTGACTAGAGGAAGATGGCTCAGTTTCCGAGTTTGTAAGAACACTGCTCAAAACAAGTAATCGATTCTTTGTAGAGTGAAAGATATTGAAGTCAGGAAAAGACTTTGGTTTGGAATTTCCTATTTGAGATCGAGTAAGAGTTGTTTGGCTGAGATGTCGAAACAGTAGATAACTACATAGACAAAGTAATGGTGACAAAGTAATGGTAGGGATAAGTAAATGAAGATTACCAAGGTGTGTGTCTAGGGAGGATACGCCAATTCTATCTGGAATTTCATGAGAAAAAGACTCCAGTGTAGATACTTAGGCCATTTCCAATGGATGCAACAAAACACCAACTTTCACCAAAATTTGGTGCAAAAGCACTCCAATGTCACATCAAAGTTGCAAAGTTATGTTTGCCCTTTTTTCCATTTGTCAAATTAATTGATGGAAGGTATTTGGGTTATTTGTGTTATATATTTTTTAATACAATAAATATAATAATAATAATAATAATAATAATAATAATAATAATAATAATAATAATAATAATAATAATAATAATAATAATAATAATAAGAATAACAACAACAACAACGACAACAACAACAACAAAAATAATAATAATTATTATTATTTGCATTCAAAATTTATGTTAAAAATGTAAGAAACAATAATTAATGAATTAATTATACTAAGATTACAAAAAAAAAATTAATAAACAAACACGATTATTTAAAGTTAACACGAAATATATTACAATAAACACATACATACATTAATCTAGTTTTATTTAAAGAAAACGATACATAAAACAACTGAAATTATTTGCAATGAAACAAGAAACATGTAGAAAAGTGTTGAACATGCATTTGGCATTCTACAATTGAAGTTTGCAATAACGAAAGGACCGATAAGGTTTTGGGAAAAATAAGTATTATATGATATCATGACTGCATGTATAATCACGCATATCATGATTATCGAGGACAATTCAAGAATGGACGGAAGCATCAAGTCCGGAAGTTGAGTTGATTGAAGATGAAAATCATCATTTTCAAAAATTCCTTGCTCTTCATAGACAAATCAAGAATAAAGAGGCTCATATTGCACTTTAAAACTCATTAATCAATCATTTGTAAGAAGAATATATGAATTTCAAGAATTAAATTGTAATGATATTTCCACTTCGTAATATTATAATATCCAAATTCAAAACGCATTGCACTTTTTTAATAGCATGATTTAATATTTTCATTTTTGTGGTGTTTCTACTAATGGTACTATGTTTTCTATATTTATTAATGAATTTAATATTTTCGTTAATTTAACGGAATTATTTATTTAGTAATTTATGTATTTGTAAAATAAATAAATAAATAAATTTTCAAATAAAAAAGAGAATACAATGATTAAACACTGTTCAGTTGATATAAGTCTTAGTGTAATGATTGGAGATGATTTGTAGTTTGGTGCAAAATTTAATACAAAATGATACAAAATTTGGTGCAGAATTGGAAATTGCATTAGAACTAGAACCAGAACCAGCTAATAATTTAGACATTGTTTGGTGGGAATTAAGATCAGATTTTTAATAAATTTTGATAAACATTGATGAAATGTTGGGTTAAAAAATAGTGTATCATATGCAATATATTGTTAAATTAGTTGTTGACTTTGATTTAAATTAAAATCAATTTCCATCAAACAAGGGCTTAAGTTTCATATCTCGAATATGATGATGTTTTCTCTTAGGCACACCATTCTGCTAAAAGATATATGGACAAGATAATCGAAGCTATGATGATTTATTGAGATAAACAAGCTTTAAAGCATGGAAACCAAATGTTCGTTTATAATTATCGCGAATGATTAATTGAAGGGTCCCTAATCAGGACCATAATCATACTTATATGTCCTTTAACTTCTTGAGGAGGACAATACACTTAGAAATTACATATAAGTTATCAAATTAACTTTCGTAAATAGGACTATAAATGAAACTGAAACATATATATTATTTCGTTTTAAAATATTAATTTCAAGAATCCCAAATAGGACCAAAGGCAACAATTCCAGCACCCTTGCATGCATTAATTACGTCTCTACTTCCCTCCGGATTGCTGGTGACAATCACCAACTCTGCCTCCCATTTTTTGGCCGTGTCGACGCTCATTTGCGACACATTGGGGCGGCCAAGCACGGCAGTGTCATGGATAATAACCTTATCCTTAGGATGTCCAGACAACATTTGTTTGATTTCTTTACCAAAATTTTGTTCCACCCCTTTTGTCACCCAAAGTAAGCAGACGTCAGCTCTACATGGCTGCAGGAGGAAGGAGAGGAAGACACAGATTCCCGAGCCAGTGGCCACCAGAAGGACCCTATTGTACATGTTTGTCAAATAAGGTAGTCCCACAAAGTGCACCTGTCGAACCCACAAATGGCTCGGTGGATTTGTGACCAAAGATTTTGTGAAGTCCCCAACTGCACCAGCAAGCATCATGTGCTCTTTCTTATTGTCTGAAATGATTCCAAATGCATGCCACTCGGACAAAGGTGATGGGCTAATCCGGCCCAAGATTCCGGCTTTAATACCGCCCTCGAACTTGATGATCGAGGCATGACTGGATTGGGAAGAAACCCTAACCGGGACTCTTCTCACAGTCAACCATGGAATTATAATTAATGTAGTAATTCCAATCGTGAACCAGAATTCCTGATGTTTGATCAGTTTTGATCCAAGATCATCACTGTACGATTTGGTGTTTGGGTGGTCATAGGAGATTGTGAGTATGATGAATGCCCAGAGCAGGCCTAGGGCAGTCCAGCCGGCAAACCGGTGAGTTCTTTCGAACACATTGTGGTGGAGGTGGCGGACTAAGGGGAACGCCGCCAGAGAAGAGAGACAGAGAAGTGCGAGAATTGCGGAGGCGACACCAATTATGGCGGAGGAAGTGTTTTCTCTATCTTTAAGAGTGAGGACTAAAGCATAAACAAGCCATCGGCAAACCGGTGAGTTCTTTCGAACACATTGTGGTGGAGGTGGCGGACTAAGGGGAACGCCGCCAGAGAAGAGAGACAGAGAAGTGCGAGAATTGCGGAGGCGACACCAATTATGGCGGAGGAAGTGTTTTCTCTATCTTTAAGAGTGAGGACTAAAGCATAAACAAGCCACGCAATGGAGGAAATACCACAACTACTGTGTATGCCACCAAGAGATTGCAGTAAGGATGTGACCATTGTCTTTAGCCTCAATGGAACCCATGACCTCCCAAGAATATTCACTGCCGCCCAAAATACAATCCTTAGAAACGCCTCACTCCGGCAGAGGACCAAAGTAAAAATGTTGGCAATGGAAAATAAGGCGGCTCGGTTTCTTGCATATGGGAAGTGTCCAGTGGCGGCAAGAACCAGACCAGTAATGTTCAATGCCAAACAAACAACAAAGAGCCGTTTGTAAACAGTGAACAGGCCTTGATCCAGAAGTATCACCGACAGTCTCGACGGCTTGCCCTTGGCTGCGCTGCCAGTGGCCTTTGTCTGTTCACGTTTACTAAACACTGGCGGAAGAGGGAGTGGCTTTGGCTCCACTTTCTCTTCTTCATATCCATCTTCAATATCAGCAAGAGTATCAACATCTTCATCATCATAATCAACGTCAAGATCACAGAAATGGCTGCTGGTTCGGCTCATTGACCGTTGCATGAGTTCTGAAGATGGAACAATTTGTGAGGCATTCCCCGATGGAAGCCAAAATCTTCTACTGTCTCTTGGTGGATCAATGGAGGGATTGGAAAAGGTAAATGGATCTGAATGGGGTTTGATTTCGAAAGCCACACCCCGGCAGCTCGAAGACCTACCAAATTTCTCTGGGATTTCCATTGATTAACGAACTAAGAAACCAAAAATGATTAATGTGCTTGGGAAAGAAGGAATTAGGGAAGGTTTTTTGTGCTTTTTGATTGCAGAGGAGGTCTCTTTATATGCCCGCGCAAGACCTATTGCTTGTTTGACTTTCAATTTTTTTCACCATTATTGGCTACTCAATTTGTAGTAACCCAAAATTTCATAGAATAAAATTTGTTTTATGTATGCTAAATTTTAATATTTTGGGGACTAAAATATATACAAAGTAAAAATTAAATTTTATTCGGGTTAAAATGTAGATGTTGACGGAGCGACAATAAGTATCTGAAAATTGGTCTCGTTGGAAAGCTCGTATTTAATTATGCATGTTAGGCTCGAGAAAAAGTGGATTTGGATTAATGGAGCTTAAATTATTGAGATCGAAAGATTTAGTCTTAAAATATTGTTATGCTTATTTTTATTATTATTTTATTTGAGTATGCATTGTGTTGGAAGATTCACGTGGAAGAATTTGGTAGGATTTAATTGGTTAACTAATAATTAAAAAAAAAATAATGAAGAGAGAGATATAAAAAGATATGGCAACCGCGTGAGAGAGAGAAGCAGCTTTATTAATATTTCCCTTTTCAATTCGTTTGAGAAGACGCCACGTGTGGAAGTTGCCCCTGAGTGGTTGGTTATTGATAAGACTTAGTCTCCCATTTTGTTTCAAATACAATTCTCTCCACTTTATCCAATCATCCACTATCTCCCTATATCTCTCACACGTTATCCCATAGAAGTTACTGCATATGTATATGGAATGCACCACACGAAATAGACACACAAAAATATAAGTGCATTGCTTACAGTGATAGAAGAGGCAGAAAAA